CAATGATGTAAAGGAAAACAGATTTAAAAGACTACAGAACTCAGATAATGAAATGAGTAATCATGACTTCATGGGGGACAGGGAAGGTAACAGTATTTATTACGTACCTACTATGTACCAGGCACTGGGCTAAATGCTTTACAAATATCTCATTTTATTCCATTTGACTTCAGAAAACCAATGACGAAGCTTATCTCTCTCCTCTAAGCAGAGAGGTGATGAACCAGAGATGAAAAATGAGATGAACATGTCCAGACACGTCCAATGTATTGATGAATTTTGTTTGATTATACTTATTTGTTATAAGCTTACGAGGACTTCAATTTGGAAACGGAAAAATAAGTGGCTCTAAATTCAAAGGACTTGGATTCATATCCCAGCTCTGATGCTGACTGCCTGTATCATCTTGTGCAAATCACTTAACCATCCTGAGCCTCAGTTTTCTCTTCCATAAAATGGGAGATTCAAACTAGATGTCATCTGAAGTCTTTTCCATCTCTTTAGCTATGATGCTATAATCAATCTACGATGAAGATGTGAAAAAATAAAAGAAAAAAACAATAAACATTTAAAAATAAAAAGGAAGAAAAAGTTCAGAAGAGGGCAAATTGTAATTTTGTTACTACCTTGTTCAATTTAATATATTTTTTAAAACTGTACATAACAGAAGTTCATAGTTTTATATACAATCCTTGTTGTTCTTTGATATTGAAACATTTGTTTCAATTGATGATTAGGTTCATAATAAAAAAGAAAAAAAATTTTTAATGATATAAAGTCTCAGTGAGTAAGTATACCAAGGGATCAGTTTCATATAAAAGGTTGCCAAATATGATGGAGAGTGGCGATCAAAGGAAATACAAAACAGATTACTATTAACAAAAATGAAATGAGTACATAACTACTTAACAAAAATTAGCAGCTTTTGAATTTAATTGAATTAGAGATTCACATGAGCACATACATGTATAAATATGTATATATTTAGGTAAATCACATACACATGATAGATGCACATATGTCTATATGTATACATGTATATATCTATGTATATATGCATATATACATGTATGGATATATGAGGGAAGAAAAAAAACTTCTATAACATTAGATAAGTAATAACCTTTCTGAGTCTCAGTCTGTTTCCTCATTTGTAAAATGCGGGAACTGCACCACGCAGTCTCCGAGGCCCTCACCTAAACTGCTTTTGCACTAGCCCCACGCCCTTCACTCCCCAGTCCAGGCAGAGGAGTTGGAACATTCCTTACTTCCCAGCACCACTTCCATCCTCTTCTCCAAGCATCCATTACTCAACAACCTTTCCTCCTCTGAGCGCCATCAATCCATATTCATCACCCAATCAAGATTCATGTAGCTGTTACCTACCAACATTCTCTTTTTCGCAACAATTTCAGTGCCTGGCTCACAGTAGGGGACTTCAGTATACATACTGATACTTCCTCAAATACCCAAACCTACCTCAATTCACTCATTCCCCATGACCTGCTCTCTCCACCCCACGTCAGTTACACAGATTGTCAGACCTTCAATGATGTTACCATTACCCATAAGTACGCCTCTTTCATGTTCATGAACTGACATTCCCCATCTGATCAGTCTACTGGTATTCCTCTTGTTCCCCTGCCTTACAACCCCAAACCCCGTTCTTCATCCTCACCATGACATCCAATCCTTCAACCCCTTAGTTCTTTACCAGGCCACCACTTCTGCACTAGCAACACTCTCCTCCCTTCCCAAACGTGAACCCTTGGTGAACCAGTTCAACTCCATGTTGAAGTCTCTAAAGTCCCTTGCCCCCTTATCTCACCATCAATCTTGCCCTGCCAAGCCTCAGCCTGGATTACTCCTACTATCCACTGAGTTTGCTCCTATTCACATGACGCCACAAAGTGAAGCCACAAAAAATCATGAAACCATGCTGACTAGGTGCACTACAAATCTGTTACATAATCTCAACTGGTCTCTGACTCTGGCAAAGAAATCTGTTTATACCTCCCTAATTCATTCATTATTCACAAATCCACATTTTCCAAACCTTCACATTCCTCTTGAAACTTCCCCTGGCTCCACCAGTCCAACCCTCTTGGCTGAGAACTTTGCCTCATATTTCACTAAAAAAATTGAGGCCCTTCAACGAGAGCTCCCTCTTCTTCCCTCTTCCTCATCTCACAATCACTCAGATGCTTTTTGACAAAATATACTTCTTCCATTGACTCAGATGAAGAAAGAGTTCTTCTCTTTGTCAAGACATACCCCTCTACATCTACAAGTGATCCCACTGCATCCTGTCTTCCCCTGCAGAGTATCCCCTCTATTATCCCTACACTCTCACTAATCTTCAGGTTCTCCTTGTCTACTGGCTACATCCCTACTGACAATAAATAAGCCCACACCTCCCCTAACCTCAAAAAACCCTCACTAGAGTCATCCATCCCCACTAGCTAACGTGCCATGTCTCTCTTCCTTTTTAAGGCTATACTCCTTGAAAAGGCCATCTATAATACCTGCCTCCATTTCCTTTCTTCCCACTCTCTTCTTAGCTCTCTAAAGTCTAGCTGAAGAATGGCCTCTAACACAATAATTCAACTGAATCTGCTCTCTCCAAAGTTAGCAATAATTTCATAATTAGCAAATCTAATAGTCTTTTCTTGATCCTCATTCTTCTTGACATCTTTATAGCCACAGGCATTGTCTGTCATACTTTTCTTGACATTTTCTTACCTCTACGTTTGTATGACAATTTTCTCTCCTGATTCTCCTCCAACCTGTCTGACCACTCCTTCTTAGTGTCCTTTGCTACAGCTATGACCAGGTCACATCTGACAATCCCCCCCCAAATACTCTTCTTTCTATACAATTTAGTTTGGTGATCTCATCAACCCCTATGGATCCAATTATCATCTCTATGCTGCTGACTCTCAGATCAACTTACCCAGGCTTAAGCTCTTTCCAAACTTCAAGTCTCCAATCTCCAGAGTCTCCAACTGTCTTAATGGCTGTATCAAACTGGATATCTTTCATACACATTAAATATAATACGTCCAAAACTGAAATCATTATCTTCTCTCCCTCCCTCACTCTCCCCAAAGAGCTACCCTCTTTTTAACTTCCCTATTGCTGCCAAGGGCACCACCACCCATCCTTCAAGTCAACCAGGCTCAGGACCTAGACGTCTTACTAGACTTCTCTCTCTGTCTCTGTCTCTCTCTCTGTCTCTCTCTCACACACACACACACACACACACACACACACACACACACACACCCCTATATCTAATCAATGGTCAACTTTTGTCATTTCTACCTTAAGAAAATTCCTAAAAGTGCCCCCTTCTCTCCTAACAGTGCAATCACCCATCACAACTGAACTACTGCAATAGCCTACTAGTCAATCTCTTTGCCTCAAGTTTTTCTCTATTCCAATCCATGCTGGACTCAGCTGTCAAACTATCTTCCTAAAAACATAGGTCTGACCATATTATCCCCTCTCCCATTCAATAAACTCTAGTGGCTCCCTACTGCATTCAGGTTAAAATATAAAATACTCTGTCTTTTAAAGTCCATAACCTGGCCCCTTCTACCTTTCTAACACCTTAGGTAGCTCAGTGTGATCTTCGAATCTGTGACACTGGCCTCCTGGCGATGCCCTGGATACTCATGTCCCAACTCCAAACATTTTCACTGACTGTCCCCCCATGCCTGGAACCTCTCCCTCTTTATTTCACTGGCTTCCTTCAAGTCTCAGCTAAAATCCCACATTCTGCAAGAAGCCTTTCCCAGTCCTCCTTAATCTTGGGGCCTTCCCTCAGAGGTCACCCCCAATTTATCCTGTATATATCTTGTTTGTATATAGTTGTTTTCATGTTGTCTCTCCCATTAGACTGTGAGTTTCTGAAAGCAGGGATTGTCTTCTGGATATTCTACCTTTCTTCGAATCCCAAGTGCTTAGTACTTGGCATAGTAGTCACTTTAAAAATTCAAGTTGACTAACTGAAATACCCGAGTACTTGGCATGGCAATCACTTAGTAATTGCTAGTTGACTAACTAAAGTAACATCAAAAGTTATAACAGTGAGTCGTCAGGAGATGACTATAGGAAATTAAGATGCCACGAAAAACACTCTCAATATTTTTCAGGCTAATTTTGACAGCAAAAGACCCTGTAAGCATTTATTAAATAACAGATTGTTAACTTATGACAGAAACAAAAGACTAGATTAATAGATATTAATCTAATAACACTTGAAGAATGGGCTGCACAACACTTGAAGGACCCTAACAAACTTACCCTGAACTACATCCCAAGAACCATCAGTGAGTGGAAAGGAAGGTTAAAAAAATCTCCCAACTGGAGGAAGATGAACATGTGAGAAAGAGGTTAAGGCACGGGGTGAAAAAGGATGAGCTCCACAAACCTAGGGTGGGCACAGCAACGTGTTTATGAAAGGTAGAGAAAAAAGAAGGAAGTGGCAGTATTGGTCAGGACATTAAGAAACAGCCGGCGAATACTTCGGGGGCACAGAGTTGTCCATAAGTGTGGTGTTATGTTATAGAGAGGGAAGGCCGGCAAGTCTAAGAAACTGTCAGCAGATGGGGCGCCTCTGACAACTGAGCGCCGTAGTTTGCTGGTCTGGGAGGAAAGGGGATCAAGGTAGAGGGTTGGGAAGCGTCCGGGAGCAGGAGGAGGATCAGGAAAGAGACCTCTCCACCAGCACGGAAGAAACGGGGCAGGAAAGGAAACAAGAGGCGAGTCTGCAGCGAGCAGCAGGGAATCGGGATGTCAAGAGGATGCTGGCGGGAAGTTGGCGGCTGAGAGGGATGCCCCGAGAGGCAACGAAGTGTTCCGGGGTAACAGGCGGTGAGGAGCGCGGGGTACGAGATTCAGGGGTCGGAGGTTACACTGAGAGACGAGCGGGGTCGGGGGCAGAGGGCAGAGAACAGGGGTCAGCGGTAACCCTCCCACCTCGGCCCTCGACTCACACAGCTCTGAGTAGCGATGGCAGCCTCGGCCCAGCTGCTGCAGGTACCGCTGCAGGACGTCCGTGAGGAGGTGGCAGGCGCTGAGCTGCACCGAGTCCCAGCCCAGCGCCTGGCAGATCTGCGCCACCGACACCCGCAGCAGCGACCGCGAGTAGCTCTCGCACATCCCGCTCCACGGACTCCCGCGCCGCCTCCGTCTTCGCCGCTGCCCCACTCCCCCTCGTGCTTCCGACTTCAGCGGGCCTCCTGGGCCATCGTCCGGGACTCCCCTCCTCCGCCACCACGCAGGGGAAACCGTTTCTCCGACTGCCGGCGTCTACCTCAGAGCTTCAGCTCCGCCGGGCGCGCCAGCCTGAGAGCAGCCATTTTGGATTCGCCCCGCCTCTGTTTGGGGGCGGTCTCTCCGGCGAGGCAGCACTAAACTGTTGCCGAAAGCATCGATGAGCAGCAGTTCCCACCCCGCCCTCTGCCCATTGATGATCCCGGCGGTCGTCCTGATCTCACGGACTGCCGGGGCAGACACTCACATGGATTTGGAGCTCTTTTCCTCCGTCCCCCGGGCCGGCCTGCAGCGCGGAGGGGAGAGCCATAGTAAAGTCATCTCATTTCCATTTTGAGAGTGAAACTAAAACCACAAGCCGGCGAACCTGCGTCCTAACCCACGTTTTCTGTGGGGGCAAGTGCGAGGGGGAGAGGAGGGAGGTGTAAGCGGGACTTTCCACTCTGCCAGAGAACCCACGTGAGAACACAGCTGCTCAGGAAGTCTGTGGATGAACCCAAGGCTCTGTCCCAGCATCCCTGCCTGAAGTTACAGGACAGATATTTGTGAATACCCTCGCGATGCAAAGCACTCAGCGAGTCAGATAAGCATATGTTTGTTAAGAATTTATTAAGCATATATGTTTCTTAAACACTTATTTTTTCCCCAGTTAGCAAACATATCATCCATCTTCCCCGACGCAGACAGAAACGCGCTGTCAAGAAAAAGAAAATTCCACATTGACCATAGTCCCTTCTGACCTTTCCATTCTTACACATTACTCTCCAACGTACTTTTCAGTCCAGTAACGCTGGCCTCCTGTGTCGTGGAACAAAACACTCCATCTCTGGGGTCTGAGCATTTTTTTTCTGGCTGTCACTCATGCCTGAAAAGCTTTTTTTCCTTCCTCACCTCAGCCAGCTGGCTTCCCTTGCTTTTAAATCTCACCTAAAGAAATTCTTTCTTAACTCCTCTTAATTCTAGTGCCTACCCTTTTTTAATTGCAGGCATGCCTCTTTTTATTGAGCTTTGCTTTATTGAACTTTGCAGATAATTGCATTTTTTACAAACTGAAGGTCTATGGCAACCCAGCCTCAATCAAGTGTATCAGCACCATTTTTCCAACAGCACAGTGCTCAAATGTAATCTCTGTCACATTTTGGTAATTCTCATAATATTTTAAACTATTATCCTGGTTGTTATTATCATTATTATTACTATGCCTGTTGTGGTAATCTGTGATCAGTGATTTTTGATGCACCACCAATACTTGATTAATAAATGTTGTTACTTGTACTGGCCCTCACTCCCTTTCCTCCGGTGCCATATTCCCTAAGACACAACAGTATTGAAGAATATTACATAAACTTAGCTGATAAAGCAGCTGCAGCATTTGAGAGGATTGATTCCAATTTTGAAAGAAGTTCTACTGTGGGTAAAATGCTATCAAAAAGCATGGCATGCGACAGAGAAATCATCGGTAAAAGAATCAATCGATTGGCAAACTTCATTGTTGTCTCATTTTAAGAAATTGCCACAGCCACCCCAACCTTCAGCAACCACCACTCTGATCAGTCAGCAGCTATCTGCATGAGACAAGAACCTCCACCAGCAAAAAGATTAAGACTCGATAAAGGCTCAAATGATGGATAGTATTTTTTAAGCAATGAAATATTTTTAATTAAGATATGTACTATTTTTAGAAATAATACTATTGTTGGAAATAACCTCTGGTGCCCAAATAGACACAGTAAGTTAAACAGACTCAGGATGAGTGAAGCAGTGAAACCTTTAATAGGCTTCCTGCAGGAAGCTGGTGTGGAACTGGAGACTAGCACACACACCTTCACACACCATGCAGAAGCAAGAGCAAACCTTATATCCCTATTCCTGGCCCCAAGTCCCTCCTAGCTGACTTTCTTTGGTAGAAGTCAGCACAGATCACAGACTTCCCGAAACGACCAGCACTGTTCCTCTTCTTCATACATAGTATGTTCAGAAAATGGCATCTTAATCCCATCCGGAGGCGGGGAAGCTAGTATTCATGAGCCTATTAAGCATTCACACTCTAAGTAAAGCTTAACCTTTGTCCTACTTCCGGCCCCTTCAATCAATCATACAACCAATTTTACCCAATTTTAGCTGGTTCTTGAAGCTCCTGACCCAGAGCTTCTTTTCTCTCAGTTTCCTTATGTGGAAATATAATCGGTTCTTACTTCTCACACTGTTCACATTTAATAGACTACAGTATAGTGTAAACATGGCTTTTTATTATGGTGATCTGGAACCAAACCCTCAATATCTCCAAGATATGCCTATATTTCCTATTTATCCTGTTTATAACTCACCTTTCCTACATTTGTTTGTATGTTGTCTTCCCCCATTAGATCATAAGCTGCTTGAGGGCAGTCTCTACTTGGTGCCCCAAGACAAATTTCCAAGGCTATAAATTACAAATGAGTTATGGATCTACATTAATTTAAGGTGTTTCCACCAGGGAGATCTGATTTCATCTACACTGATGAAATCACAGGTCTGAACAATTTCATACTCAACTCACAAGTCACTGAGTTCTGCAAGCATTTATTTTAGCATTTACTATGTGCCTGGTCACTTAGCTCAGTGCTGGGAATTTAAATACAAGCAAAAATAAAGACCCTTTCCTCAAAGAGTTAACATTCTTATGGAGGTAGGGTAGGCGACACATAAAAGGAAGCTGAAAACTTGAAAAGATGTGAAAAGTACCTAGCAGGGGAGCTAAACTGAGCCAGACTTGGGCAACCTCCTTCAATAGAGGTCCTGGGAGGAGCCATACAATCAGAGAGGGTGAGGCCCACAGGGGCTGAGGATACTTAGGAGGTGTGAATTCCAGGGCTGAAATGAAGGAGGAGTGATTGCAGCCATTTCAGAAATGGGGGTGTAAAAGCATCCCTCTTTCATTAAGACTTTGGCACATTTTCAGGATGTTAGGGGCAAGTAAAGAAGACAGAGAGATTTAAGAGTCCATCCAGATTGCATTTACACCTAGTAAAAGATGAGCTACTTCCAGCTGGAGTGAATCATTTTGTACCTTGTAAGAATATAAAGCTTGGAGTAGGTTTAGGCATATCCAGTAAAGCCTGTGAGGCTTTGAGCAGATAATTTGTATATGAAAAGGTCATTAAAGCAGGTGAGCAAGACCATAGGATTACCCGTTTCTTTTCCCCATCTACTCATTTGCATTAACCAATGGGAGAGATTTAGATTCTTGCCTTCATCACATCTCATCAAGAGAGCTTGCAAAAGCTTACAAACGTTTCCTAAAGTGTCTCCCTGTCTCTAGTATCTTACCACACACTGCTCCCAAAGTAATTTTCCTAAGTGCAGATCTAACCATGTCATTCCCCTTTTCAGGAACCCTGAACCCCAGAGATCCTTGGTGATTATTGGACAAATGGACATTGTCTGTTTATGCCCTAGCCTTTAGAGATGAAGATTTGGAAAATATACTAAATCTTAATCTATCTGCTACCTTTGACACTGTTCAACACTCTGTCCTGGGTGCTCTCTCCTCTCTGGATTTTCATACTGATGTGTTTTTTGTTTTCCTCTTACCTTATGATCACTTCTCAGTAGCCTTTGCAGGTTCATTATCTGCCCTAGGCCATCTTCTCTATACTCTCTCTTAATAATCTAATCAGCTGTTATCATCTCTGCAGATGACTTAGAGATCTATATTGTATACCCAGCCCTAGTCTTTTCCCTGAACTTGAGTCCTGCATCATTAATTTCCCATTAGACATTTCAAACTGGATATCCCAGAGACATCTTAAACTCACCATGCCCAAACCTGAACTCGTTATCTTTCCTAAAAAATCTCCACCCTTCTTTCAAATTTCCCAATTTCTGTTAAAGTCTTGACCATCCTTCCAATCTCACACATTTAAAACTTTGAAATTATCCTGGACTCCTATCTTTTCCTCATCCTACATATCCAATTCATTGCTAAATCTACTGTTTATGCATTCAAATCTCTCAAATCCAACCCCTTCTCTTCACTCACACAGCAAGTACCTTAATTCTGGCCTTCATCACCTTTCACCAAGATTATTCCAAAAGCTTCCTAATGTGTCTCCCTGCCTCTAGTGTCTTACCACTCCTGTACATCCTACACACTGCTGCCAAAGTAATTTTCCTAAATGCAGATCTAACCATGTCATTCTCTTATTCAGTCAAGTGATCCATCAGTGACTTCCAATTGCCTGTAGGATAAAATGTAAACTCCTCTCTTTAGCTTTTAAAGGACTATACCTCCTAATCCCAGTCTGTCTTTACAATCTCATTGGACATTGCTCCCTTTGCTACACACTGTGAGTCAGCCAAACTGGGCTTCTCTCTCTTTCAAATGACATTTCATCTCCCATCTGGGATTATTTGCACTGGCCATATAGCATGCCTGGGATTCACTTCCTCCTTCCCTTCACCTCCTAGAGACCCTGTCTTCCTTTTGAATGTAACTCAAGTACCATCTTCTGAATGAAGCCTTTCCTGATTCCCTCAACTGTGAATACCCTCCCTTATAAACTATCTTGTATAGGATCTGTGTGCTATCCATGTAGGTTATATGTATTCCACATGGATTTTTCTAAACACTGCTTGCAAGGAGGTGTGAAAAGATATCTCTGGACTCTTAACCACCTCTCTTCAAAGGAAATTTTGATTCTTGTCTAGAGGAGAGCAGGAAATTGGTGGCACAATCTTAGCCCACTCTGCTCTTCTCAGAGCAAGGATTGAACTAGAAGTATATCTAACTGCCTTCCTAAATGTTACTTTTGTTGTTGTTCAGTTGTGTCCAACTCTTCATGGTCCCATTTGAGATTTTCTTGGCAGAGATACTGGAGTGGTTTGCCATTTCCTTCTCCAGCTCATTTTACAGATAATAA